AGTTACCTAACTTACACATGGTAGTAAGAATATGATTCTATCCTTTACATTTTAAATACTAGGTACTAGTATTACCAGATCATTTACTCCAAATTCCAATTCTCTTTATATCATTTTATTTCATCTCTCCCTCTCTCTGTCATCTATCTTATCCATCCATCCATCCATCCTTCTCTGGCTCACTTTGGGGTGAGGTACAAATACATGCCTCCCTACCCAGGCTGAGATGAAGAAAGATGTCCCAGCAACCTATTACTCTGGGCATTTGAGTTCTCCTACCATCTTTCACTTCAACTCTTTTATATCCTCAAGAGAGACATCCAACACTTTTGTTTTTTGTTTTCGTCCTACCTTTATCTTGATTTACAGTATGCTGGTAAGAGCATTTTGAAGAAAATATATAATTACTGTTAAAAAATACAACCTATGGGATAAGGAGGGTGTGGTATATATATATATACAATGGAATATTACCCAGCTATCAATAAGACTGAAATCTTGCCATTTGAGACACTGTAGATGGAACTAGAATGTATCATGCTAAGCAAAATAAGTTAGTCAGAGAAAGACAACGACCACATGATTTCACTAATAGGTGGAATGTAAGAAACTCAACAAATGAACATAGGGGAAGGGAAGGAAAAGTAAAATAACATAAAAACAGAGAAGGAGACAAAACATAAGAGGATTCTCAAATACAGAGAACAAACTGAGGGTGGCTGGAGGGGTGTTGGGTGGGAAGATGGGCTAAGTGGGTGAGAGGCACTAAGAAAGGCACTCGTTGAGATGAGCCCTGGGTGTTATATGTAAGTGATGTATCACTAAACTCTACCCCTGAAACCAATATTATACTATATGTTAATTAACTTGAATTTAAATAAAATCTTGAAAGAAAAAAAATACAACCAATGGGTTTAGGCTTATTGAGTAATTGTAATTTAATTTTCTCTAGGATTCTCTTTTTTTCCCAAATGTTGAACAACAAACAGATATATTTACCTGCTATCTGAACAATAACAAATGTTGTTACTTTTATAACAAAATTTTTCATTTTTTTTAAAGTGGAGTTAAAATTATTACGTCCAAATATGTCCAGAAAGTCTGTTTAATGATTCAATCAATTGCCTGAATTATAATTAAATATGATAATTATTTTGTCTTTAAAATAAGTAAGCAGTCCCCTTACTCACCACTTCTAAGCTTTATTACAGTGTCTCAGGAGTGAAATGTTAGGGTTTCTATACAATATTACATTCAGATCAGATCTGAAATCTTTTAGGGAAAGTGTATCACTTTAGGCTTCCTTAGGATAGACAGAACTTGTTTATTTCAAGTGATGTCACTAACTAATGTCCACTTGTTCCTGCCTTTCTCCTTCTCCAGCTTGGTTGGAGCACCATGGAAACTCACTGAAGGCTGCTACCCAGGAGACTCAAGAGGGAATTGTTAAAAAGGAAAACTATCCAAACATTGTCTTTTCCCTTTGAAGACTAAACAGGAAAGAGAACTCATAGGCAAAGTAAGAATAGATGTGCTTTGTGCTCGAACGCTCTAAGAAGGATATGGTCTGGACCAAGGAGTGCTGGCTCTCTCCGGCTCCATGTCTGATGACCCAAGGTTTATGGGATTCAGGTCCAGAGAAGTGGATTTCTGCCACTGAGGACTCATTAGGGCTGATGCTGTGATGGTGCTAGAAAGGAAACCTTATGTTCATCTCAGACCTGCCAGCTGTCTAGATGCCATCCCCATCAGCAATGCAAGAATGCTCTGAACTTGGACTAGAGAAGACACAGTGAGAGCCAGGCTAGTCAATGAGCCTAATCATGGCAATGCTAATAATAGCAGACCTTTACTGAGCACTTACTGTGAGCCAGTACTGCTGAGAGCAGTCTGTATGCATTACCTCCACTTAATCCTCCCAACTATAACAGAGCTGGTGCTGTTATGATAACTGGTTTGCATGCAGGAAATGAGGCTCAGACAGCTTAAGTAGTTTGCCTATGATCTCTTGGCCAGAAAATGGGAGTGATGAGTTCTGCACTCAAGTCTGTTCTAATGCTGTGGCCCAGGATCTCATCACTTGGCTTTCCCACCTCTCAATTCCAGTCTCTCAGAAGGACACTCTGATCCTCCACGATGTGGCCCAGGGCCTTCCTCCTGCCCTCTCTCCCACCGTGGGTCTCCCCACTTCTCCCTCCCGTCTTTTCTCAGGCCCTACAAGTTCAGGCCCCACTCCCCAAGCACATCTTGCACTTCTGAGATTCTTTGCTTTTGCTCACTCCCTGTGCTCATTCCCTTGTTACCTGCCAAACCAGCTCTGTCATCCAGCTCCCTGTGCACATGCCACTTCCTGTATGGAGCCTCTCCCAGTTTCCTCTTCTACCTCTTGGCCTCCTTATATCTGTTCCCTCAGCACCAAGTTCATGTTTTGGATCAGCACACTATGGTCTACAGGCCAAATCTGGCCTACTGTACGTTTTCATATGGCCCCACAAGCTAAGAATAGCTTTTATATTTTTAAAAATTTGGAGGGGAAAAAATCAAAAGAAGAACAGTATTTTGTGGCACACAAAAATTATTTTGAGTACAAATATCAAAGGACATAAATAAAGTTTTATTGGTAAACAGGCATATTCATTTGTGAATATATTGTCTGTGACTGCCTTGACATTACAACACCAGAGTTAATAGTTGCAACAAAGACAGAGGGCTCAGTGTTTCAAATAGTTGCTATCTGGCTCTTTATACAGAAACAATTTAATGAGAGTATATAGAAAAGATTTATACATCAAGAACTTGGAACCCCTATCATTGCTGTCACTGCTATCTCAAAGTAGGATAATTTGATAAGCATTTTTCACAAAGGGAAAGGGGCAGCTTACTCCTGCTTTGGAGTACTATAAAGTTGTGTTTCAAAATAATGGGCACCCACGTGTTACTGATTTTTATATCACTGTGCCCAGCATGGGGTCTGATTCCAAGTAGACACTAATTTAATGAACATATGAGGGGAAGATATCCTATATACAAACTTAGTGACAAGTCACATCTATTCTTCAGGCTTCGATTTCTTCACCTATAAAATGGTCAAGTTGGTTTGTAACATTTATAATGACAGTATCACCAACAAGAGTAATAGAAGTTTTTGTTGAGAACTTACCTTGACCATACATTCATTTTGTCCAACAGCCTTCAGAATAAACACCATCCCCATCACACAAATGAGAAACTTGAGCTCAGGAAGAAATTGCAGGATATTCAATGGCCCCATTTGAGGCTACACCTTTCCTGAAGTCCCTCCCTCATTTTTGCTTATCAGAACCCCAATCTGGTTGCACTGGTTGGGGCAGTCCCTTCTTGGGGCTTCTGACGTCTTTCAAGTTAAACTCAATACTAGCTAGTCAGCCTTGGGCTAACTGTCAGTTCTTCTGGATTCACTAAATTCACACATCCCTCCCTCATCTCATACCTAGTGTCCTGTGGACACCAGATTCAGGCAAGGTCTCCCCTATTTCTCCCCTGAAAGCAGACCCTCCAGGGAAACAGGGTCCCCTATCCCCTAACCACTTTCTTGTTACTTTCATAATAAGAGACTTGGGTAGAAGTCCTAGTAACAGAGACCTCTTCAATAAAATTAGTCTGATGACAGATATACCAGTGTTTTCCAAGAAACATGTTGAAGGATGAACATCATAGGTCTGAATCCTGAATCCTGGTATGTTTATTTATTTATTCTGAGCAATTTGCTCAACACTGGAACCCGTGTACATCATAGCATGGATGGGATTTCTTAATTATTCATGCCATTAATAATTGACACCATTAATAACACTGTAATACCATTAATAATTGAGTACATAAAATGGAATTCTCTGGAATTAATTTATTATCATTAATTTTCTGTGTCGGCTTGCAAGAGCTCATTAGAATGGTGGTCAGGGTCTGTGCATCAAATTATTTAACTAGTCATCCTCAGGCTTAAGAGGCCAAGGAATTGTGGAATCCACTCCAACCACTGCCTCTCCTTGCCAGTAACAGTCTCCTCTTTGGTCTTTTATCCCTCCAGGAAAGGGGCGGGGGGGGAGTGTCTTGTGAACACATCCACATAATTCAGCTTATCTCACTGCTGACTTATAAAACAGGCCTAATGAAGAAGAGGGTAGCAAGCTGCCCACGGGTCTACAAAGCCTTGAAGGGAATCTGCCCTTGGGGCTACCAGTCTCCTCCCAAGTCAGGTCGAGAGCTCATCCGTCTCCTGCCATAGACCCTAAGAGCTCTGACTGCTCCCCTTCCATAATTAAAGCTTTGGGGGTGCCTGGGTGGCTCAGTAGGGTAAGCTTCTGACTCTTAGTTTCAGCTCAGATCGTGAACTCATGGTTTGTGAGATCAAGCCCCAGGTCTGTGCTGTCAGCGCAGAACCTGCTTGGGAATCTCTCTCCCCTTCTCCCTCTGCCCCTCCCCCACTTGTATGTGTTCTCTCTTTTTCTTTCAAAATAAATAAACATTAAAAAATTAAAAAGCTTAGTTAAAAATTAAAAAGATTAAAAGATCCTCCAGGATCTCTTTTCCCTTAAACTGACCAAAAAAAATACATATAATGTTCCTGCCTTCGCCATCTCATCCTGATATCCCTTAAGACAAGCCGCTGACCCTTTTAAGAGTTTCAGAGCCAAATATAATAGAGGTACTGAAAGGAGAGATTAAGAATTACCTACACGGATCATGTACACTAATTCTGTGATTTTACAGAGAGCTTCAGTCGTCATGTGAGGCCCTGAACTTTAATGAGCCTATTGTATCTACAAAATGGCATAATACCTACAGTGAAGGCAAGAGAGGTAGCCATGGAGAAACACTGCCGCAGATGCCCATTCTAGGAAGGACCTGATGGCCAGGTGAAGGGGAGGGTCCGCAGACAGCCTACAGGCGTTGGCATCATCAGGGTGTGCTGAGGTGCGGAGACTGGCCAGGTCTGAGGGCACGTAGGACGACCAACTTACCAGGTAGGATGACGGACTCATTTGGTCTGCCTGGAACTTTCTCAGCACTAAAAGTCCCACAGCCCAGGATTGGTCTTTGGACTGAAGTCTGAGTCCATGGGCACGTCTTTTGAAAGCAGAGGCGTTTGCCCTAAGTATTTGACAAGGCCAATCCTTTGTGACGTTTTGGGTGCATTGTCTGGAACAATGGTCCACAGTGATTCTGCTCTTGCTCCCCTCCCCCACACCAGCTGAGCTGAGTACAGCTGCCCACAGAGCCCACTGGGATCTTCTGACAAGAAAATTAATGTGATCTGTTCCTCCCATGAACTCCCATAACACTCCATAACTTTCTAATGGCGCTCTCCACATTTCATGTTTTATTATAGCTATTGCGGAGTTTCTCTTCCCTCTCCTGAATTGTGAGCCTCAGTCCCCGTGCCAGTGACTCCATGTTTGTGTATGAAGAATTGAGGGAATACATGGCTCCTATACTTCCCTCCCTTGGATGCCTGTTAAGGTTTGAGAGCCCCCAGCTGGGTGGGGTTAAGCAAGTATGTGAAAACCTGTGACATCGAAAACCTACGTTCATCAAAAACCTGCCTCCACCTGAAATCCGAAGTCCTATTTTGCTTAACTCCTAGGTTTGTTTGTGCAGAAATAAAGCTGTTAAATAATAGATGCGAAATCACTTTAGGAATTATTTATGTGTAAGGTTAAACCTAGAAATGTGTCAGTGTCTCTGTTTAAACATAGTCTAATCCAGTCTTTGAAACAGGCCAAATGTATCAAAATTGCTATTCTAAGTTGTACTGAGGTTTTCTGATAAAAAGGAATAAACTAATATTATCTAGTAGCAGATACTTATGACTAATCTTCTCTTAGTGGATTGAATGTTTCAGTTAACTTTTCAGGATCTTTGAAAATCTTATCTGTGCATATTGAAGCCTTTTTACCTTGTGTCCCTGGAGGAATATATAAATAGATACAATCATGTGCTCTAGAATGCCAATTGTAGGTGTTTTTCCATCTTTCTGACCTTGTTTAACCCTTCTCCTGGGTTTAGCCTTCCTGATTAACCAGAGGGGAAAAATTCATAGTATCGCCTGGATGCTTTGATGAAGGATACTGAACCCCTCGTGATAGAAATCTTCTCCCCGATGAAACTTATCAACTATTAATTAGTTCACTCAACTGACCAGGGATCCATCTGCATCAGATGATATTAAGTGCTCGGAAAAGGACAGATCTGGGACTCAGAGGCCCTTGCGTCCGAAACTCTTTGCCTTCCTGCCACTCAGCTTTGAAATTGGGTACTGCTCTAAACTTTAAAACTCGGCTCCCTTTGAAAACGTTAGGTTTCATATTAGTAGGTATCATTACCTGAAATACTCAACATTGATTCATTAATCTGTTTGTTGTCTGTCTCCTTCCAATATAAATAAGTTCTATGTGGTTAGGGAATTTTGTGAAGCGTGCCTAGCACAGCAAATTTTTGTTTGTTGAATGATAAATTTCTGACTTTTCAAACTTGTAAAAATCTCCAGTGAAGGTATCCTCAAAGCCATCTAATCTAATTTGCGTTCAGCACCTCTCTGAACAGTCATCACCTTGAACATGAACCATTCCAGGATACGGGCTCATTACCTACTAGGAGAGGCAACTCTACCATCTTGCTTTAATTGTGGCTTAGAAGAAGTTCATTTACAGGGCATTGTTTCCATAAAGCCAATCCTATTTTTGTACTTGTTACAATGGAATAGGAATCTGTAGCTACCCCAGAATTAGTAATTAATACTTTTCATAAAGTCAAATGAACTTTTTTACGTTTATTGAATCCTCCCTATGCTCTAGATGTTTTGCATATACGAATTCTCATAGTAATGCAGTGAGGTAATCATTTGTGTACCCATTATCCAGATGTGCCTGATGAGCTTCAGAGAAGGTCAGATGAGCTTCAGCCTTAGCAGTGGCAATGAATTGGTCTTCCTAGCATTATTATATTCATTGCTCAAATAATTACTAATACTTGCAGAGCACATATGCAACTAACAAAATATCCTAAAAACTCTCTCACCCTAAATTTATTAGCACCCAATAGTAAGGAAGGCATTATCAACCTGGAGCTAGACAGGTTCAGAACAGTAAACAGAGAAGGTAAGACAAGTTACCTGGAAACAAGTTTCGTATTTTACACTCTAACACCATTCCGCTACAAAAAAAAAAAAAAAAAATCTGATTCTTAGATTCTTAGAGTTTATCAACTCCTTCCCCAAAACTTGACATTTGTTTCAATCACTGAATTTATAAACACATCCTTATTCCTATCATAGGCCATGGGCGGAACTGATGCAGTAAAGATGACCAAGGCATAGACCTGCATCCTGTGAGTCCACAGGAAGTCTCCACAGGAAGGCTCCAGAGTGTCATGGAAGACAGTAAGAGTTCAATGTCATGCTTGCTTTGGGAAACCAGGCAGGGCAGGGCAAATATTTCTTCCTGCTTGTCTTCGAAGTTGGTTTGTGGATACATCTTTCTTCCCTACTAGACTGTTAGTATCTTGAGGGTAATAATGATGACAGGGACATTTTGACATCCTCTTAGCATATGGCACATAACTTTGTCCAATGTTGGTACTAGTGACGGTGGTTTTGTATGACACAAGCTACTATTTTACACTAGGGCATAGCCACTCATTTGCTCAAATACATCAATAACCCTACCATAAGAGGTCTGGGCTGCTTTGAAAGCGTTCAACTAGTTGAAATAGTGAAGTGACTCAGCAGAGAGGTGGGCCACCAGATCACGAGCTGACACTTAGAAGCAAAAGGTGGTCTGAGGGCCAGGAACAGGGTATTGGAGCTGCAGATGGAGATGGACTCAGGGAAGATGCTCCAGGAGAAGTCATCCGCAGCATGCCACCCTCAAGGGCACAGCGACCCGATTATATCCAAGCCTGCCTCAATGCTGGGGAGCCTAAGGAAGGCTAGTGAGGGAGAACAGAGGGAAAGAGAGGAGAGAAAAGAAACTAACCATGGATCCCTTCCTCACTACAGGCTCTCAAGCATGAAGTGGGATCTGAGCTGTCAAAGAAGGGAAATCTTCAGTTGCAGTAGTGGTGGTGTTAGACACTGGACTGGATGCTTTAATTATTAAAATGAGACTGTTTTCTTTTTCTTTTCATTTTTTAACATTTTTATTCATTTTTGAGTGTGAGTGGGGGAAGGGCAAAGAGAGAGGGAGACACAGGATCCGAAGCAGGCTCCAGGCTGTGAGCTGTCAGCACAGAGCCTGACACGGGGCTTGAACCCACAGACCATGAGATCATGACCTGAGCTGAAGTCGGATGCTTAACCGACTGAGCCACCCAGACACCCCGCAATGAGACTGTTTTTATGCCTGAAGGTGACCAGAGAATATATCTAAAAATCTGAGGTGACCCAGAAAAGTTCAAAGCCTGCCTCTAGGAGCCCGCTGCTCAGGTTTAAAGGGACAGCTAAAAAAAGAAGAAGCTGCTCTCTGCTTATATGCTCTGGAGTCCATCACAATCAACAAAACTCATTGACACAGAATTGATATAATACAGCTTACACAAATGTGAATCTTGCTTTATTGTTAACGGTATATAACATGAGCACTTCCTCATACTCGAAAAGAAGTTTCATCACTATTTCATGGTTGTATAATGATCCATGCAGCAAATGTGCTTCCCCAGTGATTGGGTGTTGGGTTGTTTCAAGTAATTTGCATCTTAAGCTCAGAGTTACTGCACACATAGCTGCATACGCCAATTGGAACGAGTAAAGTTGAACTCAAACTCTTTTTATCGTAAAGCATTGTCTTAAGTGCATATTACTGCTCACCTGGGGGAATGAACCCGAAAATTAGATTTGCAAGAAACTTGGGCTTCTTTCAAACAATGGGTGGATTGTCCCATTTGAATTAACTTCTTCAGAATGATTTAGATAGGAAATGAGAGGAGACTGTGGCCTGCTCAGAGCAGTGCTCTCCGCTGTCCAAGTCAGCTCCCATAGAAGCTATCAGAGATGCTGCAGATTTAACAATGTTAAATGTTAATATTTAACAAAATATCCCCTGAATCAGTTTGACTTAGAGAGTGAGAGACAGAGAAAGAGAGAGAGAGAAAGAGAGAGACAGCAAGAGAGCACATGATGGAAGAAAATCCCATTCCCTGAAAAGTTATTGAACGTACCCTGTAGCATCGAGCCTCTGGATCTGCATTATCTCATTAGGGCTGTAAGAGAACCTTAACTACTGGTGACGAAGAAAAACTCATTATCCCCAGTTAGCAGATGAGGAAACTGAGGCTGAGAACTTTTCCAGACTCAATCCACTGCTGGATAGCAATGTCAGAGGACCAGAATTTAGGCCTTTTCTCTCTGTTAATTCATGTTCTACACACATATTGACATGTTATAATAATATGGTGTTTGTGTATATAGATATAAAATGTTCACAACAAACTGGACCTGGAAAGGTTTTCTTGGATAATGAAGGCCCTAGGATCTGCTATGGTCTGATTTTCACCAGTGTTGGTACATGTTCTGCAATTCTTCAAATTCTTGGATTTCAAGCCAGAGCTGTGCATTTAGTAATTAGGAAAACTCAGTGAAGTATGGCCTCCCAGAGGGAGAGCACTCTATTCAGAGTGCTTTTTTAGAATATACAGCATTTCCTTCCCTGGATGAAATAGTGATCTAAGCATTCCATTATTCAAACATGGAGTGAATAATAACAAGGCACTGGCTGGAACTATTACAATGGGGAAAATACATAGAGGGATTTATAAGCTTTTGTATTGAAACTTGTTCAACCTCTTCTCTTTAAAAAAAATTCCCAAGACTTGATTTGACTCCTTTGCTGTATGCTCTTTTATTTTCTGTGCAGGTCAGAGCTTGCTAAGAAGTCCTAGCAATCTCCAGTGTCAGAGGCAATGAGTTATAGAACCATCAAGAACAAAGACGGGGGCGGGGGGAGGGAATAGCTGCAAAGCTGTTGCTTTTGTTTTGGGAGGATGGATGCTGGTTTCCACCCTTTAATACGTTCCTCATGGAGTGTAGCTGAGTCTGATTTCGGTGGTGGGTGTAACCAAGAC